TCCAACATCACCGGGGGCATCCGGGGGCCGCTCCCCATCCCATTAAAACCCCAAATCCTCAGAACGCGTTCCCAACGCTCCGGGCACGCCGAGCCAACCCCACCCCGGGAATTCTCCTCCCTCTTTCCCGAGGGAATCCCCCCATCCCCGGCTCCTCTCCCGTCGCTCCCAGGCTCGCTCGGACCCGCAGGAAAATGTCCCCGTTCCTGGACAGCATCTCCACCATCGTCAGCGTCTTCCAGCGGCGCGCCCGCGGCACCGGGGACGGCTCCCGCCTGAGCCGCGGCAGCGTCCGGGAGCTCATCCTCCGGGAATTCGGGGATGCCCTCGAGGTGAGGCCGGAGAAAGGGTCGGGATGTGGAAAAGGGAAAAATCACCTCCGGAAAGGGATGGGGAGGGTTCCGCCAGCGGGAATTCCTTCATGACGGGAAAAGGGAATGGAATCCTGAGGGAGATGGGAAGCGGCTGATCCAGGGGGATTCAGGGGGGATTTGGGATCTGATCCCAGGGAACGGGGCCGGGACGGGAGGGAACGGCCTCGAGCTGTGCCAGGGGAGGCTCAGGGGGGGAATTTGGGGAAATTCCTCCTGGAAAGGGGAAAAAAACCTGCCCGGGGAGGGTTGGATCCACATCCCCGGGGGTGTCCGGGTAATTCCTGGAATTTGGATCCGGGTGATCGGTCCCAGTCTGGACTTGATCTCAGAAATCTTTCCCAACCCAAATGATTCCAGGATTCTGTGGCTGCTCCCGCAGCTCTTCCAACCCGTTTTGCTGTGAAAAAAAAAAATTAAAAAAAGGGAAAAAACGGAGAAGGAGCTGTGGGAGGGGCGACTTTTCCTTCTGGGGTGGGAAGGAAACGCATCCCCGAGGAGACAGAACATCCCAAACGGGAAAGGGCAACTCAGGAAAACAGCCGGGAACACGGAGGAAAAAAACCCAGAGCCGCTGCCGAGCCCTGGAGACGAAATTGTGGGAGAAGGAAGGAAAAATCCTGCGATTCCTTCTTTTCCTGAGGAGGAGCAGGAAGACAGAAATCCCCTTTTTTCCCGTTTTTCTTTTTTTTTTTTCCCCTGCAGAAGCCACAAGACCCTCAGACCCTGGAGAAGATCCTGCAGTTCCTGGAGTGGGGAGGGGACGGCGACATCGATTTTAACGAATTCCTCATCGTGGTGTTCAGGGTGGCCAAATGCTGCTTCTGGTCCGTGCCCCGGGMGCCGTTCCTGGTGCAGAGGACGCGGATCCCGAGCGGCGCCAGATCCCTCCGGGAGCCCGAAATCAGGAGCCGCGGGAGCCGCCGGCAGCTCCCGGAGGATGAGGAGGAGGAGGARGAACGGGAAACCCGGGAGAGGAACCGCCGGCGGGCCCGGGAGGATGAGCCGGAACGAGAGCTCAGGGTCGGGGAAATCGCGGAGGGGAGCGGGAGGGAGCGGCGGGAACCGCGCGGGGAGCCGGGAATCCCTCGGGAATACCGGGAGGAGGAGGAACCGATCCCTCCGGAATACCGGGAGCCGGGAATCCCTCGGGAATCCCGGGAGCGGAGCCGGGAGCCGGCCGAGCCGCGGGAGAGCCGGAGGAGGCGGCGGCAGCCCCCGGAGCCGGACCGGCGGGACGACGGCAGAGACCGGGAGGGATTTCCCGAGGAAGAAACGGCGGAGGCGAGGAGCGAGGGGATAAACCGGGAATCGCAGCGGTGGAGCCGCCAGGAGCGGGGCGGGGATGGGAGAGCGCAGCGGCCGCGGGGAGGGGACGATCGGGACCGGGAGCGGCTCCGGGAAGAGCGGAGCCGGCAGCGGCAGCGGGAGATGGAACAGAGAGAACGGGAAGGGAGGAACCGCCGGGAGGGAGAGACGGAATGGCCGGAGAGCCGCCGGCCGCACCAGGGGTACCTGGAGGAACCGTCCGAGATCGATATCGGGCAGGGCGAGAGG